GCAAGTGGGTAAATTTATTGTTCACCTAGCTCTCGAAATTTGGAAATACTTCTTATCACCTTGCTCAAATGATATTCCTGATCTCAACAATGTATTCCTGATGATGAAGGCGCTGATTGATAAATGTTCTCGTATTAACGCAACTCCAAAATTCAATAATAATCCAGAAACATTTTCGAATTGAGCAGGTTGATAGACATTCGATTGCCATCGCGGACTTTTGGCCGATTTCATGTGCGAGAAAATCTAAAAAAAAAAGAAGATTTCAAATCGTAAAGAACCGAACCTTGTCGACAAAATTTTCCGATCCATCGTCACTATTAATTTTGCCTCCACAATATTATACAATTCTGTACTACACAATAGATTTAAATTATTATTTTAGAATTTCCAACGATGCATTTTTAAAATAAATTCCAATAATATAACCGTACTATTGTTAAATTTGGGTTATACTGTACATGCACTGATACAATATAGTGCATACTGTTTACTGTATATTAACTGCTATCCCGTGCATGAAAAGAATAAATTCAGATGCTGCTGTACACCACTCTTCGAGCCGGAGAGAAAGTTTTTCACCAGAAGAACCGTTTGTAATTTCTTATTCCCATTGATTTCTTTGCAGGAATTATGGGCGAAAATGGAAATGAATTTTAGACAGGCCATGAAGCAATCTTCCCGGACTTGGCCATTCACACTTAGCAGAAATGATCGACACGGTAACGGCACCGCACACTGCTCGGCAAATCGACGCATCAGAGAGCTGTGTGCGACAATACATTTTCAAGAATCGCTGACGACACAATCTTAGAAAATTTAAAATCAGATTTTCTCGGCCGTGAATGCTCTCGTATCTATTGACAGATTCCAAGCAACACGGACATGATTCTTCGCATTTCCTGCATTAATGAATATGCGAAAAGCAACAATAATGATTCACTAAAATATGATTTCGTACATCTTTCCAGCAAGTGCCTATGTAGTCAGCCCTTCTAATTTGATTTAGAAACCTCGAAGTCAAGTAACTGCCACTAACACCGCTGTTCAAGGATGGCCCTTTCCTGCCGCAAATCTGATTCAACCTCCGCAACATTGCATGCTGAAAGACGCTTACAGTATACAATATGTATGGAGTCATAAGTGGGAAAACTGATCTGCACATTCAATGAAATTCTCCAATGTTTTGCTGGCGTTCATCAACCCCATCTGACTTGTATTCCATTCCTCACTGATCATTAAAAATAATTAGACAAAACTTCAGAATTGACACTCATTTCGTTCACAGGACTAGAGCAACTGAGATGGAGGCGATCAATAGGCCAGCCGAAACTGCTTGAGAAGGTGCATTGTTTGTTCTAGCGCTGGTGGATGGCGCTGGTGTAGATGTCGATGGTGGCTGGTCTTGTTGCTTGCTGGCCATGCTGGGCTTCTCTGGTTTCATTGGGTCAGGGTGAGCAGCCTTGGCATTCAAATCTTCATGTTTCTCCATTTGACGCTTCTGGCGCTCACTGACATCCGCCAAAACTGCAGCAGTGGTGGATGACGGCTTTACATGGGATCCTTCTTTGTGTTCTTCTTCTGAAGAATGCTTTGCAGCTGTAGTGCTGAGAGTGACTGGTTTGTTGGCCTCAGACACAGTTGTTCCAAGGTTTGGCTCATGAACTGGTTCTGCACTGGGTTCTGGAATGGGCTCTGCACTGGGTTCAGGGACTGCTGATGCATGGGCAGCAATCTACAGTAAACAATGGGCTTCAATTTTTCAACATGAAATAACTCGCTGATAATTGTACAGGACACTATCATTTACAGATACACAGCAGCAGATGCTTTATACTGATGGAAGCGTAAAACTAACCTTCAATGATGGTTCACCTTGCACGAGGTGATGGACATCTGCCGCGGATTCATCAAGGCTTGGTTTGCTTTCTTTAAGAGGTTTGGTAGTAGGTGTCACCGCAAGTGTGGTGTCACTATCATGATGTGTCGGAGTCACTGCTGCCGAAGCAATTGAGAGGAATCCAACGGCGAGCACCAGCACAAAGTTCTTCTGATTATAAAAAAAAGATTATGTATCTGAAAATTAAGCGCTCTTTTCGCGGGATAACTCACCATGGAAACGTTCATGTTGATGTTCAATTCACTATTTCTTTTCTCTAAATATGTATATGAGCACAATCAATTTCCTGTTACCGCGTTTGATAAAAAAAGAAAAAAAATTGTGAATGCTGGTGAGTTTCGAAACGATCGACGGATGTGGTTTGAAAGACGCAAGAAATCTGACTTGATCCCAAGGAATCAACTTTCCATTTTATTCCTCATAGCCCGATGAGAGGCAAGGCATGTGATTATTAGCATATGCATGAAACGGTCCTTGAAGCAGCATAATATGCATGCGATTTATGGTTTGTTCCTCATCCTCCCCGCGGGGGGTATTCAGGAAGTTCTTGTCCTCAGCATTAGTTATTACCCGCACTCGGCTTGGCATGCGGGACAAAATGGTGGGTCTCAGAGTCGGGTTTGGGACGTTGAATAAGCAGCTGAGAACCAGATTGGTGTACTTGAGCGCCGGTTGGTACCACTGATGATGCTGCACTCCTGGTTCTCGGGGGAGGCACTGGCCTAGCGTTGATTTCCTCACGAGTGTTCACGGCAGTGCTGGGCGGTGAACCTGACGACTTTGTGTTGATGGGTGTTGCTGATGATGGAATATTGGGCTTAGGTGCCCCGATGACTCCTGCTGCGGGCCCCACAGCAGCAGAACTTGGCTTATTGAGGGTGGATCCAGGAATAACTCCTGGTGCTGGTGCAGGTGCACTATTAATCGTCCCAGATTTTGTGAGTGCTGGTGCAGGTGCACTATTAATCGTCCCAGGTTTTGTTAGTGCTGGTGCAGGTGCACTATTAATCGTCCCAGGTTTTGTGAGTGATGGTCTGGGATTGTGTTCCTGCTGGCTGGATAAGGGTCCAGTGCTAGTTTGATGAACTGCTAATGATGGGGGTGGTTGGGGCATGGCACTAGTGTGGACGATGGCCACGAGGAACACCACTGCTGCTACTGCTGCGAATGCCGGCATCTATATATGTATATGTGCAATCACACACAGATTTGCCTCTCACAGTAATAAAAATCAAGGGATGATATTTTAAAAAGCAAAGGACATGGAATGAAAAATATGTCACCTTGCTTCTGGTCGATAGAACACTGTATGAAGTTACAACGAGACACAGACCCGATTCCTTCACCACAGACAAGACTTTTGTCAGCGCACTGGTTCCTGCACCCTGGTTTTATATTCAAGACATTCGATGCTATGATATGGGGAGTGGAAAAGTCCAGATGAATTTCAATGCTGCTGGGGAAATTCTGAATGTCTTGTGATTCTGTCTTGAGGCTCGGATTTCCCTGTGAGCACCATTTGAGGAAATGTTGCCAAATCCTGGTGCAAAGTTAAACAATGAGCAGTTGCGAGGCTTCGGAATATTGAAAGCATGTATACAGTATATATATGAAGACTTCAGGGTAAACTTCCAAATCCAGCTGGTGCACCTGCTTATTTGGAAGTTACCAGAGAAAACAAACCTGCATCTTAAATGTGTTTTCATCGCACAAAAAATTGCTTTCATAAAAACTGATCACAGATGACATATGTACTGATGACTGTACATAAATACTGTATATGATGGAGGCAAAGGGCATCATCTGAAGCTTATTGTACTGTACATATCATTCTGTGTTTCTATAAACAGCGGCAGTATATATATATATATAGTACTGTATATACAATATACTGTATGTGAAGAATTATATTATGTACAGTATTTTGGGATGATTTATTTTTAATTAACAAAAACTAGCATCTGAGTCTGACTACTGCATGATGAATGGATTGATTCTAAGACATTTTGTATTATTTCACCCCTATGTATAATTTGCGTGCAAAGGATAAATTTTTCCATTTTTCAAATAAAAATGGAAAAGATCATTGTTTTTCCCCAAAAATGATAAAAAATATATACTGTAATGCCTGAAAATCAAAATAATGTGGTGTTATGTACACAAAATATTTTTCAAAGCATTCATTCCAAAGTGTCACATTTACAGTACTATATTTGAAATCAGTCTTTAAAAATCGATTATGTACATTACCGTAAATTATTTGCGCTTAATAAGCTCCGCCCATTTCAGGAGACGCTACTCCCGATGCATGGTCATACCTTCGAGGTTCAACCGTAGGCTGTCAAAACGGCAGCCTCCCTGGAATTCATGAGAGCGGGTCAACTCCGAATCCACGGAGTTCATTTCCGCGGAGGCATTTCTGCGGTCGATATTTGCGCGTCTTTGGTGGATTTGCGCTTCTTCTGTGCAATTTTCGGAATTCTGCGTAAGTTGAATTCCGCGGCGATTTTCAAAGCGGCGTTTACTTCCGCGAAAAACCATTTATTGGGAAGGCTGTTCGTAGCTGATAGCTCGAAATGTCTTCTCGAATGCCTAATCCGCGGAAGGAAGATGGGAGTGTATTAATGTGGTAATCTCATTTTGCATGCCCGTCAGATTCGTGAACGCAAGAAACCTTTGCTAGTGGCTTCCCGCTGCTCAACAGCCGTTATAATTGTTCGTTCGGAAAGCTTGTGATCCCTGCGAAGCCATCCTAGATTTATTTCTGCGGCACTTGTACAGTGAAACCCGCGCACATTTGCAGGTAGATTCGTGATGCATGTGAACCTCTACTGTGACAAGCATCTGCGGCGATGTTCTCTGGGAGACCTTAATGTGATTCTTCAGAATACAATGAACCTCAGACAATACGTAACTTGGATCTATGTCTTTTCAACTAACTTGGAAATCTCGTGGGAAGATGATGCCTTGTCACGCTTTTGTGTTGCATGCACTTAATTATCGGCGCAGGATGAGTTCCCTGGTTTACAAGCGCTCGTATGTGCACGCGATTTCATTTCGAGGGGAGATTATGGGTTCAACGTCTTATCTTTGAGTGACGACAAAAAGACGCTCTTGGAATAGGAAGTGATGCGGTGTTCGATTCGGATCACCGTGTGGTGTACAGAAAATTTCAAAGTGCCTATCTGTCATGACATTGCATAAACTTCGCAGGTCGTGTTTATAGTGAAAGCGTTCGTCGCCTGAAATGCACTTCTTGCGATAGTTTCAATTCCTTCAGAGAACTGCAAAAAGTTCTTGAAATGGACAGTGCAGCGAAGGAAAAAATCGCCTCCGTCGCGTTGACGGTTGCGCAACCAGTACTTTTCATAAATTCTGCGATAGACCGATTATATTCCAGTGATGAAACGTGGTGGCTTATACTCAAGGCCTGTGGATTGACTTACGTTACCGTGAGAATCTACGACCAACTCCAACCATTCGATGGTTAGTGATTTTCTATGGATAGTCTTGAGTATAAATGAATTTAGCTAAATAATGCAACGCAGATCCGAAGAACCGGTTGGTCAAGTACGTGGGTAAACTAATGACTCGTTTACCGGCCGCTCAAAAGAAAATCCGAAGTGAGATGAACGCTATTGGAGAAGCTTTGGAAAAGGATTTCTACGAGAAAGTGAAAGAGGTTGAATACTCAGAGCGGAAAATGCCGAGAGTTGCTTCTTCCGCCGAAGTCGTTCTGCGCAAAATCGATGACCACGTGAACCTTGGTGAGACTCGCTCATTCATTCGTGTGTCTTCCATGTGCTGAAAAGCATTCGATTAATAAGACGTCTTGGAATATTCGTCGGGGGATTTTTATGTGTTGCATCTACTTGCATGACATATGATTTGATCCAAACCGCTTCCACGTATGGACAGAAAATGACTTGATTGAAAAAGTTAATGATATATTCCAATTAAAGAAGACACAATCCAAATCGCAGTAAAGACGAAGTTATGTGGTTAAAGCTGCATCTAAGAATGATCGATTACGGCTCATTCCGTATATGTTTCAATCTAATCACAAATTGATTTCGAAAGAGACGACAGGTGGATACTAGGAAAAATTTCCCTTGCGAGCTTTCGTTCATCTCCCATCTGTGGTATGACATATTGTGTAATTGTATATCGCATAAATGATCGATTTTGCTGTCAGGAAAGATTTCATGGAGAACGGGAAGAGCCTCTGGTGCCGTTTACTTCGGCAATGAAGAACTATATTCAATGCAGTCTCAGGCTTTGCTAAAGACAGCAATATTCAATCCCTTGCACCCTGAAATTTTTCCTGCTGTGAGGAAATTCGAAGCGGAAATCGTGGCTTGGACTTGCAGTCTTTTCAACGCGCCGCCTGAATCTTGTGGAGTCGTGAGTGATATGGACTAGCGGTAAATTCGTTCTGAAGAACATCGTAATTCTGACGGTGCATATCATTGTAGATTTCAAGTGGTGGAACAGAGTCCATTTTCATAGCCTGTCTGGCTTACAGAAACTGGGCTGTAGAAAAAGGAATTCAAGTGCCTGAAATGGTGGTCGCAGATTCAGCTCATGCTGCGTTTGAAAAGGCAGCTTTGGTGATGCGGATGAGAATAAGGAAAGTGCCTTGTTGTCCAATCACCTTCAAGGTGGACGTTGGAGCGATGACGAGAGCCATCAACAAAAATACATGCATGGTACATATTTTTTGGGGGGATAGCTTCAGTGTCGCCATGTTAGGTGTCGCCTCTGCATTCAGTACTGGGAATGCAAGTAAACCAGGTTTGCAATGTGGTACAATGTTGAAATAGACCTAATTATTAGTAAGGGTCTGCAACCCGTTGCCTGTGGACCAGCGCCAGTCGGCAGACGTGGAACTTTCCTCAGCATAATACATTTATCAAAGTTAACAACGAAGTTTATTATCTTCATCTCTAATGCCAGGAAGATTATGGCAGTAGAACTTATTTGACGTTAAATAAAAGTTGGCTCTTCCCCGAATAACACCCGACACATTTATGGACGCCTGTTGAAATAAATTATTTCAAGTATTCATTTTGAGAAACCTTTTTTGAAGCCCAGCTTTCTAATTTCCAAAGACATTCCACTGTAGCTGCTTTATTGATGGGGATCTTAATTTTTTCAATAAAATTTCTGCTGGTTTTCAAGAGTTTTTTGGTGATTTGCTGGTCCACTATAAATTTATGAAAATTTGCTGAGAAAGTGACGCTGCAAATAACATGCAGAACATGTGAATAAATGTCCACAGAACTGTGTGTTTGGTGATAGTACAGTACATACAGTTACATACAGAACCTTTGTAACTGGAAACTTCTCATTTCACTGTATGAATTCCCTTAAAAATTGCATTAAAAATACTCCCAACTCAAAGGCTTCCGCCCTAAAGCTCTGTAACTGGAATTATCTGTTGGCCTTCTGGCTTTTATTTCATTGACACAGGGAAGAGAAAAGCAATACAAATGTAACTTGCTGTGTACAGTACTTTGAAAGGAAAAGAAAGACAAATTGGGTAAAGGATCAAATTTGATTCAAAGTTCAGCACTATGTCAACTAATTTGAGAATTGCTGTAATTTAAGGTCTAGAATATCACCAATGCAATTTCATGCAATTCTTCCTTCTTTCCCCCAACACAAATGCTTGTTTCCCTGACTTGAACTTTCTGGCTGGTCCCTTGAAGTTACACTTGAAAAGTTTTGAAATGTAGCATCCTTCTCTGAGAATCCGGAATTGATTGTGAAATGGGATTAAATTCGCTTGTCTTTAGTTGGTGGCTTCAGCCCCGAGTTTTCCTCATGGAGTCATCGAACCTGTGGAGACAATTGCTGGGCTCGGATTGAAGTACGGCATTCCTGTGCACGTCGACGCATGTCTTGGAGGTTTCCTATTGGCCTTCATGAATGATGCTGGCTACCCGATCCCTCCTTTCGACTTCCGCGTGCCGGGAGTTACTTCCTTATCTGCAGACACTCACAAGGTACAGTAACAAGTTCACGGAACTTTCTAAGGAAGTCTCGGAATATGTGATGTTATATAATTTAATCGTTGCAGTACGGTTACGCCATGAAAGGGACCTCGGTGATCCTCTTCAAAGAGCCCAAATGGAGAGACTCTTACCTTACCTCTTTTGCCATCACTGATTGGCCAGGTGGGCTTTACATCACTACAACTCTGGCAGGATCTCGGCCTGGAGGTACAGTATTATTCGATATTCAAATAAAATCCCACGTGGAACCCCCCGTTTTTTCTTTTTTTTTTAACCCGCATGAGAACCTTTTTATGCCAGGACTCATAACGGCGTGTTGGGCGGCCATAAACTACGTCGGCTATGACGGTTACGTAGAGCGAACAAAGAAGATAATCAGCACAACTAGACACATTCAGAGCAAGTTGGAGGAAATTGAAGGCCTGCAAACGTTGAAACCCGAAGTCTCCGTCATCTCCATGAGGTCGGATGAATTTTGTATCTACACTTTCATGGATGCCATGGCCAAGCGTGGTTGGAACCTGAATCCTTTGCAATTTCCGCAAGCGTGAGCGTTGATTTTTGTTGTTGTTGTAGCGATTGAACGCTACAGGCAGAACCCGAGGAAGACAAAATGTTGAAGTTATGTTTTCTGTATTTAAAAATCTTGTCTACAGGATCCACCTTTGCGTGACCCTGTTGCAGACTGAGGAGGGTGTTGCGGATGCCTTTATAGCAGATTGCAAAGCAGTAGCTGCAGAAATGGCTAGGACGCCTGGGGAAGTGTCAGGCAGTGTAAGTATCTCATGCAGTATTCTCCTGTAAAATCCTCCCGCATATACTTAGAATATTTCTGACTTTCCCTTTTTGTTTAATGCAGATCAGCGTGTGCTAAAAACAGGTGCATACAAAAGTTGAGACTACTTTACAAGAAAAATGGGAAAAACCCAGGTGGAAAATAAGGAAAACCTTTTGATAGCTACTTTTTCTCAGAAAATGCCTTCAGAATTGATGATGGAAAAGGGTTCCTTTGTTTGGGTTTGTAATACATGGGGTTAAAGGATTTTTGGGATTGAGTGAATTTTTCACAACCCCCCCCCCCTATCTATTTTCTTTGCCTTGAATATTGCAGTATTAGAGACTGCCTATTATTTGCTTCAAGCTTTTCCGATATCCAGCCTTCATTAGAAACAGGCCTCAATTGAAGATCACGCATTGTTTGGGGGAAAAAATATAGTATCTTTACCTCTTTCAAGAGTCTCCAGACCTGGAATCCTTGCTTCATGAACAGATGTCGCCCCAATTTTATTACATTCGTTTCAAGTGCAGTATATCAATTGACTATGCTTTGTTGAGAAGCAATCCCTGATTTGTGGGATGTCCGCTAGATGTCGCCTCAACTTGCTTTCTACATCCAATTCGCTCAATTGGTAGTTCATGCTTCGAAACAGGAAATGATTTGAGTGACACATACAGCAGATGTCTTGGATAAAAAGGAGCACTTGTAGAATGTAAGTGTGTGGTTTGCTTTTTTTCATGCAGGGAAGAATGTATGGTGCATCACAAGCCCTGCCCATCAGGAGCATTGTTGGAGACAGTTTGAAGGTGTATGTGGACAAGTACTACTCGACCCGCCGTTTCGAAAATTGATGCCAAATGCACTGCGTTACCCGTTTCAGCAACAACGAAAAATAAAGATAGTGTGGCCTGGATGTAACTTCACTGGCAGAGGTTTCTTCGAGAGTCGCGGGGAGGGAGGGGGGGGGGGAATATTCGACTTAGCCGACTTTGTGATCCGGAAACCCTTCGAGAACAAAGAAAACGATTGGGCATGAAGACGGTCTTTGTTTGATTCTTCGTGCTCTTGACATAAATAATGTTTTAAAAAAATAAGCTCAATTTATGCATAGTTGAGACACCTCATTTGCCGCGGGAATACGCAACGAAACTGCCTCCTCCGGTGCCACGGACGTACTGGGGTCCGTTGCTGTAGAACACGGACCTGCCGCCGTAGCTTCTGCCGTAGCCCCCGTAGCCGCCGTAGCCACTGCCGCCGCGACCGCCGTACATCCGCCGGGGAATGTACCTACGGCCACTGCGGTACGCCAGTCTAGCTCTGCCTTCTCCGAACGACGGCGGCACTCCTCCGAAAACGGGTGTTCGTTTGTATCGGGCTCCTGATGATGATTCGACCGAATCATTGAAGAGGTGAGACTCGGCATCTGAGTTTTGGTGGGACTCTATGGCTGATGCCGGAACATTTTCTATTGAATCAACGCCGAGTGCTACTGATGGCAACACTGCGAGGGCCAGGAAAAATTTCAAGTCCATTGTTACTGTTCTGTGGTGGAGAAATGAAGGCAAGAAAAGCATTTGTTGCATAGTTGTTTTTGCTATGTCAAACAGGTAAAGTGTATGCGAGTACTCTCTGGTTTTCAAGTCTAATCGTGAGTTATGTATGAAGTTCATATTTCTGCCGAACTTTCCTTTATTTTTCTCTTTTAACTTCGTGAGGAAAAGTCGCGTGTGGGTTTCAGTGAAGGGGATAAAGAATCAGCTTCATTCCCAATTGATCCCGGGACCGAATTTATCCTATAGCAAGTACATCAGTGAAACAGAATGCACCTTCAGTTTTGTTTAAATTTTTTTTAAAACAAATTCATTACCGGTAATTATATAAGAGCATTTCGTCCTATGCAAAATGGGTCCCCTTCAATGCAGTAAAACTGATATGGCCAAAAATTGGTTTGGGGACACTGTATAATTTAACAGGAGTATTTTCGAATCAACATGCAAAGAAATGATTTTCATTTTAGATTGGATCACTGTTGAGCTTCAAAATGATGATTTTTGGAAGCCATACCCGATGTGATAATACTCCTATAGCAGAGAGTTGATACGGAATTATATAACCAATGTGAATTAAACTAAATTTCAGGCGACACCTATGCGATGTCGAAGGAAAACCACACACTCCTAGACTTTTTTTTTTGATACTGGATCAAGTTCAAGAAAAGCGGGAAAAAAAAAGTTGCGGAGAACGATTCAACTGCGATGTATATAGTTTTTTTTAAATATTCTCTTTGTCATCATGGGTCACTTCAATAATAAGCTCTCGTCCGGAAACTGGGGCAAGAAGCAGGAAGTCACGAGTATTTAACCCTTCCGGCGTGATGTGGCAATCATCATCTTCACCAGCAACAGCAGCTTTCTCAAGGAAGTCGTCCCATTACGTATTTTTCGGTCCTGTGTGCAACTTGTATTTATATATACAGTATATATATGAAGGAAACCATTAAGACGACGACTATATGAGCGAGCATAGGAGTAACTTTAACTTCCTGTTCAAGGAAATCCAGAAAACAATGCGTCCAATTAACCCACACACGCGGGTCACTCAGTTGGTCTTGTCAGGCTCTGCTGCTGGTGCTGCAAGACATCATGATGGGGCTTCATCATTATTACTATTGTATTATTGGAAGTTGTATATGCTGATGATGCTGGAAACCTTGACACGAGCAGCAGCAATACTGTTTTTATTGATCGAGGGTTCAAGGAGGCGACGGAAGCTATACATGCATCACTTCTCTTTTATGGCATGCAGCATGCGTCTTCTATAATAATTTATGCATGCGTATTTTTTGCTTCCTGTTTTATACTGATGTTTTTTTTTGGAACCCGTTTCCGGGTCCTCTGCATCAGCTGCTGTATATGATGGTTTCCGGTGGCCATTTTATGCAGAGAATATATATACTGTATGTATACTGCATAAAGTTGTTTCCTCTGAATCATGCTAACAAATTTGGAAGCAGTTTCTTGTTCCTTTTTAATTGGTATATATGAGCTAGAATAATAGATTCAGATATTTCATGATGAAGGAAAATAATGAAAGTAAGGCCCTAAAATCTCCTTACAAGTTACAACAAAGCAATTATTTATTGGAACCAGTAAAAATGCTTTGTGAGAACAAAAACAACTTGTATACATGTACTGAATTTCATTATTTTGGCTGTTGGACATAGGGGCCTATAACAAAAAGTACATGTTTATAACAAGATCCATTTTAATGGCATTCTATACACTGTTCAAAATGTTGTGCAATTAACTTGGAAAAATGCTCTTAATGTATTTTTAAAAGTCCATGAAATGTATTTGGGCATGCTTTCAAAAGTTTTAGCCAGTACAGAATACTATAAGCATGGGTGTATACTAAATTTATAAAACAGGCAATAATCCTAAAACTACTGTTGTGATGGATCATTCAGCAGTTTACTGAATATATAAAGTGGGTATCTCTGCTGTAAATGTTCTGATTCTGAAATAATTTTGTTTGATTATTGCCCAGCATTCTCTTATTGTTACAAAAAGAGCATGATTTCCAGATTTGGGAAACCATAATACAGTCAACCCCTGTCTAACGGACTTGATTTGTGCAAGGGACAAGTCTGTTAGACAAAAAGTCCTTCACACGAATTCAATTAAATAAAAAATTAAAAGTTTAAATTTTCAACACTAATTTTAAACCAAAAGAAGTCTGTTTGGCGGATTTTGTCTGTTGGGTGGGAGGAAAAACTACTTGCAGAGCTGGTCTGNGGGAGGAAAAACTGCTTGCAGAGCTGGTCTGTTCGGAGAAAATCCCTTACACGGGAGGTCTGTTAGGCAGGGGGCCACTGTACTTCATGCATGTTGTACTTGTACAAGTAGGGTTGGGTTGGTGTAAAAGGTTCATACCAACCCAACCCTCAGGTGGATGCGATTCTTACGCTTGCTCTTCAGTCCTTCATTGGTGTCTAATAAATTTTAACTCACTAATCAGCTATACAGAAGGAAACAAGAAAAAGACCTGGATCACAGTGAATGCCCTCCACTGCTGAAGTGAAGTTTACCATATAACTCCCATTACCTCATCATTCAGCTGCTGTTGATCAATTAAACTTCACTTCAGTGGAGGGCATTTACTGTGATCCAGGTCTTTTTCTTGATTCCTTCTGTATAGCTGAGTCACAGGATATATTAAAAATTCATTAGACACCAGCAATAAAGGATTGGCAAGGAGCAAAAGAAAAAAATTGCATCCGCCTCCAAAAAAATGACAGCATGCAGCAAGTGGCTGTTACATCTTTTAAAAACCCACCCTTGCATAATTATGTAGTCATCTATGTATTATTTAATGTTGAAACAAGTTCAACTGATCGCGTTTTGTCAGCCAAGAAGTCAAACCCCATGAGCAAAATGTACAGCAGTGCAATTACTGTATTTGTGGAACTACAGTACATAGCATGTATATACAGTATAGGGTGACACTAATATATTTTCAAATCAAATTAATTTTCATCCTAAAAATGTCTCTCTGCTATACCGTACTTCATGTCATATATTTCTAGAGGGATGTCAAGTGTGTTATTGGAATTATACACTCAGACACTCAATACATGTAAAATTAGCCAAGACGGAAGTAAGAAAAAAGGAAATAGGATCTCTGACTGCTGATGGTTAATTTTATTCAAAGTGAGTCTGTGTGCAGCGATTTTGTATTGCAGCATTTTTCTAAAAAGGAAGTTCAGACGCAGAAGCTAAATAAACATGAGAAACAGGAAGGAGGCTCTTGAACCTTATCTGATGCACAAACAAGAAAAGCTCTGGAGTGTTCCACAGAATACCTGTGATGGTCCAGGGATTTCCTCATCCTGCTGGTCAATGCCTTTGCTGGTCAACCACAATTATTACGACTCTCTCTCTCTATATAAATAAAAGTTCCTTTTATATACATGTACACACAAGCAGATCACACAATGAGTGAATTCACAATCATTGATAATCTTGTTTCTGTCATGTATACACAGCAGTACCTCATATATATGACATGAATATTTTTGATGCAAATGATAAATTGTATTCTCTTTTTAATAATCCTGCATTATTTTATATAACACCATAACTTCTGATGTTTTCAAAACTGAATTAACTACACTACTACAGTAGTAAATAATGCTTATAAACTCCCTCCAATGTCAACTCTTTTGTAGAAAACACATTGATTAATTCGTTTATTTATTTTGAATACTTTTTGCAGCGATTTTAACCCTGCTTTAATTTTAGAAAATATGTATTACAAATACCCATTGACATCATATCATCAGCAGTTTAACTAAAAATAATAAATAGGAATATATAGTCATTCATGAAGTATAGTCTTGGCTGTAATAACAAACCCCATACCTGTATCTACAGTAAGTTTTTGAGCTGAATTTTTCTTTTTTCAGAAACAATAATTCTATAATGTTTTCTGAAGGGACATTTTGGGGACAGATCAGTTTTTGTACAAACGAAATAATCATGAGCTGCTATGTTAATTAGCAGGACAGCAAACAACAGCTAAAACCCCAAGTGTGATTCTTTCAGAAATTTTAGGGGCTTTTCAAGCGTTTAAAAATAATTATTTGCCTTTTGTTCAATTTTATCCCCATCTCAAAATGCGGGAACAAATATATTTTGAAACCATTTGTCCTTGGGATAAAACCTCACTCAATGATTCCTCAGTTCTGATTAACTGCGCATATGAGTACAGGAAGTTCATCAACCAGGTGTCAGATGACATGCACTTGCTCTCTCTCATTATTATCAAGTGGATGAAAAGTAGAAAGAAACAAAACACTTGATTAATGAGCCAGAAACCTGAAAAAAACTGGTATAAAAGGTTGATGCATGGTATATCCATCAACCATTACTCCAATAGTCTCTTGATCTGCCTCATATCTGGTCAATCAGCAGTGAGCTCAATTTGAGGAGGAAAGTAAAACACTATAGTGAAGATCATGAAATATGTGAGTTTTTCTTGCACTCCTTCCAGTATTGATCCTTATTGCTAAATCAAACTTCCCTTAGTCAAATACTTCCCAAAGTCAATTCTTTTCAAGTCCCTATCATAATTCCTTTAGAAACAAATGCATTAAAAACCTCCCTAACCTGAAGGTTTTTCCTCTAAAGCCTACATAATTCAAATTTTTAGAGGCCCTTTGGCTATTATTTTTATTTAAACAGGAAAGAAAAACAAGCAATAAAAGTGGCATTTGATGTACTCTGAAAGGATGTGGCCAACTAAATTGTGCAAATGTACCCCTGTCTCCAAGTTCAGAACCCTGTGAACTCATTTTAGAAACAATTTTAGGCCAAGAATCTCATTATGTACAATTTAGTGCAATTCTTCAATGTTTCCCTCAAAAAATGCTTGATCTCATAAGTCAAACATCTATATATAAATCAAAATCTCCCAAAGTTGAAATTTTTTGCAGGCCCCTTGTCAAAATTAAACTTAGAGAGACTCATACTGTAAATGAATAGCAAGGAGTGATTTTTAAAAATCTGGAAACTAAATTCCCTGATTATTATTTGTTGCAGACACTGTTCTTTGTAATGGTGGCAGCTCTGTTCTTGCTGAGTGCCACCATGACAGTCAATAGTCAAAGAGGGAGGAATAGGTTTGGTGGAGGAGGTGGAAGATCCCATCATGGTGGAGGAGGATTTCATCATGGCGGCGGTGGATTCAATGGACATGGCGGAGGAGGTTTCCATCATCATGGAGGAGGAGGAGGGTTTCATCATGGTGGTGGTGGTGGTGGAGGATTTCATCATGGCGGCGGCCACTTCAGGGGCTGAATAATGTCCTCCTTTTATTTTTCAAACTTCATATTTTTAAGACAATCATCACTTATTGTGATGATGCTGTCTCCCAAAAATAAAATGTAATTGATTCTGAAAATTCATTCATGACTTGCACATTATTAAATATATCCTTGGATAATTTTGTGGGGAAAAACAAGGCCAAGCCTTGAATTTGAATCATCTCATAAGCATTCAAACATTCATGACTCCAGCAGAAATACAATTGTATTCTTCATTCATCATCATCAGGATAAAATTGATAAATAGTACATATCTCTCCAACATCAGAATCACGTCGGATATTACCACGTTTTTATGAAATCTTGGCTGTAATAACAAACCCCATACCTGTATCTACAGTAAGTTTTTGAGCTGAATTTTTCTTTTTTCAGAAACAATAATTCTATAATGTTTTCTGAAGGGACATTTTGGGGACAGATCAGTTTTTTCACAAACAAAATAATCATGAGCTGCCATGTTAATTAGCAGGACAGCAAACAGCAGCTAAAAGCCCAAGTGTGATTCTTTCAGAAATTGTAGGGGCTTTTCAAGCGTTTAAAAATAATTATTTGCCTTTTGTTCAATTTTATCCCCATCTCAAAATGCGGGAACAAATATATTTTGAAACCATTTTTCCTTGGGATAAACCTCACTCATTGATTCCTCAGTTCTGATTAACTGCGCATATGAGTACAGGAAGTTCATCAACCAGGTGTCAGATGACATGCACTTGCTCTCTCTCTCATTATTATCAAGTGAAAAGTAAAAAGAAACAAAACACTTGATTATTGAGCCAGAAACCTGAAAAACGCTGGTATAAAAGGTTGATGCATGGTATATCCATCAACCATGACTTCAATAGTCTCTTGATCTGCCTCATATCTGGTCAATCAGCAGTGAGCTCAATTTGAGGAGGAAAGTAAAACACTATAGTGAAGATCATGAAATATGTGAGTTATTCTTGCACTCCTTCCAGTATTGATTCTTGCTAAATCAAACTTCCTCAAGTCAAATACTTCCCTAAGTCAATTCTTTTCAAGTCCCTATCATAATTCCTTTATAGAAAGAATGCATTAAAAACCTCCCTAACCTGAAGGTTTTTCCCATGATTTTAGGTAAACAGGAAAGAAAAACAAGCATTGTACTTTGAAAGGATGTGACCAACTAAATTGTGCAAATGTACCCCTGTCTCCAAGTTCAGAACCCTGTCAACTCATTTTAGAAACAATTTTAGGCCAAGAATCTCATTATGTACAATTTAGTGCAATTCTTCAATGTTTCCCACAAAAATGCTTGATCCCATATGTCAAACACCTATATATAAATCAAAATCTCCCAAAGTTGAAATTTTTTACAGGCCCCTTGTCAAAATTAAACTTAGAGAGGCTCATACTGTAAATGAATAGCAAGGAGTGATTTTTAAAAATCTGGAAACTGAATTCCCTGATTATCATTTGTTGCAGACACTGTTCTTTGTAATGGTGGCAGCTCTGTTCTTGCTGAGTGTCACCATGACAGTCAACAGTCAAAGAGGGAGGAATAGGTTTGGTGGAGGAGGTGGAGGAGGATTTCATCATGGCGGCGGTGGATTCAATGGACATGGCGGAGGAGGTTTCCATCATCATGGAGGAGGAGGAGGAGGGTTTCATCATGGTGGTGGTGGTGGAGGATTTCATCATGGCGGCGGCCACTTCAGGGGTTGAATAATGTCCTCCTTTTATTTTTCAAACTTCATATTTTTAAGACAATCATCACTTATTGTGATGATGCTGTCTCCCAAAAATAAAATTCAATTGATTCTGAAAATTCATTCATGACTTGCACATTATTATACATATCCTTTGATAATTTTGTGGGGGAAAAACAAGGCCAAGCCCTGAATTTGAATCATCTCATAAGCATTCAAACATTCATGACTCCAGCAGAAATACAAATTGTATTCTTCATCATTATCAGGATACAATTCATAAATACAGTACATATCTCTCCAACATCAGAATCACGTCGGATATTTTGATTCCACAGATGAGCAGCGAGCTGTTTTCTTTATGTCAAACAACATCTTATTGACATATTGACAGTAGCTGATGAGGCACTGATTCTTCACATGAAACAGTCGGGTTTGCGTTTCTTTGTTGCAGAAGATTTCAGCTTCATGCTGCCTATGTCACTTTTCTCCAACATAACTGGGAACCACTTTGATCTTCTTGCCGTTCAAAGCAGAGTTGAAATAGTGGAATTTGCCAGCACCTGGATGAGAGCGGACCAAGTTCTTGGACAAACCGGGTCTGAACAGTGGGTGGAGCCAATTCTTGTGTGGATCCCGTTGCTCAGTTGCTTCACAGAGGTCGCCTGTGGTCACCAGCAGCATCAAGCAGACAGCCATTATCAACACTGTCACTACTACCATGGATTTTCGCTCATTATTCAAAGAATACCACCAGCACATGCTTCACTATATAGCTCTCTTTGAAAGTCTTGCATATACAGAATAATATAAGTTCATGAATCCAACAATAAGTGCAGCTACAACAGCACCCTTTTATATATAGACAAAAACCGGGTCCAACATTTGCCTCACAAAACTTGGGTATAGATGATGAGTAACCTTGAATGAATAACAGTTTCTTGAGGGGTTTCCTGTCCACAACAAATTAAAATGCAGGTACACTTGCTATTTTAATGTAGGAAATGGACGCAGACGCATCAGAAATGCTTCAGTATATATAAATCAAAACGGTACTGGTTCATAAATAAGTAGGACTATAAATAACTTCTAGAGAAATTCATGATGTAGATTCATGCAGAACAAACAAGGTGTCCATCTGCATTGCTGCATCAACAGTCAACTTATTCACTCAAGTTCTTTTCAAATTACTATGACTCCATGAATTTAAATTTTGAGGAAAAGGGAGCTGAAATTCTTTTGGTATTATCTGCTCTCATCAGATCAGATTTTACAAAACACTTGAACATGATTACCAGCATGACCTGAATAACCCAGCAGATTTAATCTTGATTTTCAGAAAAGTCTCCTTCCAAATCAGGCCCAATACGAATATCTTCTGATGTAGGGGCACAGTTTTTGCTCACCAGCAGTTGATATTTTAAGGCACATTATTTTATTTAAATTCATCTTTCACTAGCCCCAAAACAGGTAAAAATTATTCTGGCACATGATGTTATATTGCTGCTTCTATAGGTTAAAGCTTGAACTAGTTTTTAAATTTATTTTAATTTTGAAAATACTGTACTGTATTTAGTACAATCTTTCCTTTCTCAATGCAAGTTTATTATAGATGAACCTTAGCACCACTAAAATATGAGCAGCAATTTTAAACTCACAGTTTTGATTTCAAAATAAAAGTGAAAAAAATTGCAGCAATTTAAATTCACAATGAATAATGATTACTTATGAGTCCCATGAATATTGATCAACTTTTTAAACTTTTTTATTCACCCATCACTGAAATCAATAAGGCTTGCATAAAAACCTTGCATGAATCATCCTTTATATAAAGAAAATGAAAACAGACTAGTTTCAAAAAGTATGGCTTTATCTGGCAGTTTCAGTCAAACAAATCTTTTCTTTCATCCAATCAAAGCGCACATCTTATATTCAAAGAAACACATAGAGGTGATGAGCTTGATGGATGAAGTGCTGCAGAAACATGACAAAACTCCATTTACATGTTCCATCAGCTGCTGCTGTATAGAGCATATACAGTAGTTGACATGGTTGGTCTTTTAATCCCAATAAGTCTACATTATCTGCATCAGCACTCAGCATCCCCTTGTATCCAAACACTCACCATGCCATCATCATCATCATCATCATATATAAGGCCACATTGCTGAACACTTCATTTCAAACCAATGTAATCAAGAACACCATATGTGTAGAAAGGAAAATAAGCATGATGAAAAGCATGCTGCAGTCATCATCATCATCTCATCAGCATTCAGTGATGGATGAACAATGAAAACTCGGTTGTTGTGGCTGCAGCAGCCTCATCAGCATTGAACCTGTTGGCATCAGTAGTGTCAAACCCTTGACCCACATTGTGGTGGTGATGGTCAGGTGACCAGAACTGAGTTGCATTCCTGAGACACACTGTGCACCTGCTGATGCGCTCTGTGATGGCATTGCCCTTGGTGGTGCCAGGGGCTGGTCTCAGGAACTGCTCATGCACATCCACTGTGGCCAACCAGTAGCTGAGTGCAGTGGAGAAGGTGTTGCAACGACCATGGCCTTGGCACTCCAAGAAGGGCGTGGGGCGGAACTCTCTCAGGCAAGACCCTGGGCTGGCCAGGGGCTGTCCACCACCTTCTGCTCCTGCATCAGTGTGCATCACAAAGCTGTAGCCTGTCCAGAGCTCCACCCAAGAACCTATTATTTGTATATATAAACAACATGGTAAATGTGAAGGAAAATTCTAAACAGTGCAGTCAATAAACCCAATGGACCACAGCAGTTATTTTCCAGAGAGGCTTGTAATACATTTTAGCAAGACTCTCTGAAATCTCTCTGTATTTTGGTTATTTTAGTTTGTGTGATTGTACAAATATTTTGTGACTTGAATATATTTGAAATATCTTTTTATTGGACTTGTATATTTTATTACCATGGTCTATGGACAACAACAGTACATTACAGTACCTGGTTCAGGGGAAGATGGACATTCTGGGGCATCCAGTTCCTGGCTGTGCAGGGCAATGGCCCTCGTGGGGGCGTCACACACCACACACCGGGACACGTATTTCTCAGCCTCATCGGGCCGCAGGGCCCGCATCATCATGGGCATGTCCTGGCCCGTGTTGAGCCAGTAGCTGTAGTCGTTCCTGGACGCATAATGGCACACGTTGTTCATGTCACAAAACAAGAATGGCATCAGAGCGAATTTCTGCAGACACGAGCCCGGGGATCCTGAAATAACATGTATATATGCAATTTAAATTTTATGGGGTGAAAAAAAAAGAATTACCAAGAGCACCTTCTCAATTAAGCCCACTATACTGCATACAGGTGGTACCCTAAAATTTGAGCGCAATCCATTGAATTGCAAAATGGTCAAATTATGGGAAACTGCATACAAATAAGTAAGAGCGGGAAAAAACACAAGAAAAGTGGCTGAAGCAGGAAAAATTACAAGTAAACATCCCATCAACAAATTGTAAGGTACCACCTATAGCTGTACCACTTGAAAAAATTGAAGAAAAAAATGAGTTGACTTGCCCAGGTCTTGAGAATGTGCCTTCTGATCCCCCATGATGTGCAGGAGACTGTATCCATCCCACAACTTCTTGGTGTGTGGAGGACAAGATGGTACAAAGCTTGTCTGGGAATGGATAGTGAGGGGGAATCCTTGGGATGCTGGAGGAGGTGGTGGTGGTGCTGGGTCACCAGGCAGACCAGGCAGCCCAGGGAACCCAAACTGGCCCATGGGACCAGTGCGTCCTGGGTCACCCCCTGGGCCAGGTGGACCAGAAGGCCCAATGGCACCATCAAAGCCAGGGGCACCAAGGTCACCTGACTTTCCAGGTAGGCCACTTAGGCCAGGGGCACCAGTGGCTCCCTCTATTCCTTTGAATCCTAAACAACAACAAAACAACCAAACACATCAATAAATCAATCAATTATAAGAAAGAAAGAAGAAAGAAAGAACAGAAAACTTTATTTGCCGCTTTTCAGCGTTCACAAGGGATAACCAGAACTCCCGCATCCAAACCCCCTCCCCACCCAACCCAACTCCCCCAAATACATTCAATGTAAAGTTTCGTACTTTGTTTCGTAGTTAATATTATAATGTTCTACGAGTAAATTTCAACTCTCTTTGTAATACCTTAATGGGAAGTAAGGAGAGAGAGGTTGTAGGGGACAAACAGGTTTGTAACTAAACCTCCCTGGTTCTCCTGCGTCTCCTTCAATTCCCTGGACAGACAATCATATATAAAACCATCAACTAAATCCCCCCCCAAAATATAAACAAATTAAACTGAACATACTTTGAGTCCTTCCAGACCAAAGGGACCAGGTGGTCCATTGTATCCTCTGTCACCAGTCACTCCTTGAAAGCCCACAATCCCTGGGAGACCAGGGAGACCCAAAGGTCCTGGTGGCCCAGGTGGTCCAAAGTCTCCCATCTGACCCTTTACCCTTGTGGAATTTCACCATCAGTCATCAGCAAAATTAGATACAAAATAAAGAACCCTAACACATCAGCTGCAATAAATGCAGGCTTCCATCATGAGATGAAACTATCAAAACTATTGATATTGCACGTATAGAAAGAATATGAATACTCCTTGAGTAAGATTGAAAAGTAATGGTTAAATTATAGTCAGGGGATTCACCTTTGCCCTTCTGGTCCATCATCTCCTCTCAAGCCCTTGGGGCCAAAATAGCCAGGTGGGCCAGGAGGTCCCTCTTCACCAGGTATTCCTGACATGCCTGGCAAACCTGGTGGCCCTGTCATGCCAGGGTATCCTGGGCTGCCATTGATTTGTGGGCCAGCTGGCCCCTGTTTCCCCATTGGCCCATCTACACCATATTCCCCAGGGGCCCCCTTCTGTCCTGGGCGACCAGGCAGGCCATCAAATCCAGGGTAACCCATTCTTCCTTTCTGACCCTTGTGTGGCTCCTGAGTTTCGCTCCCTGTATATATATACATATAAAGATTAAAATGTTCAAATACTGTTCAATAACAGAACAGATATGCATATATGCAGGGATTGCACCAACCTGGGAATCCTTCAGGGCCCATGTCACCCACATCACCCTTGGGTCCAAGTCTTCCAGGAACACCTTGATTGCCAGGACTGCCATCATCACCAGTTGTACCCTAGATATATACATGAGGAGGATTCACATCATGCAGCAGCATTATAGTCACTCTGAGTCTCCTAGTCATGATGTGTCAAGAGTTCTTGATTCAAAGAGAAATATATACTGACTTTTCTTCCAGGGACTCCAGGGTTGCCATCATCACCTCTGAGCCCAGGGAGGCCGTCTGGCCCCCTGGCCCCTGGTACCCCAGCATGTCCCTTGTAGGAGTAGTAGTATGGAGTGTATCCCTTGGCCCCTTTTTCTCCAATGTCTCCCTCCATGCCCTTGGGGCCAAGGACACCTGTTGGACCTGGATCTCCTAGAGCACCAGGGATTCCTGCAAGCATACAAAAGACACATTGCCAGGGTTATTATTCCTGTTACTTGAACAGAAATTAATCAACATGTTGCTGCAGACATAAAAACGGTGTGTGCATTATACACTATGTGACATTAGCTGATGAATTCGAATCCAAGGTTTCACCATTCTTTGTATATTTGTTAAACTATGTGTAATATGCTCCAAAACTAGTTTGTTTTACATATAATACAATTATTATAGTATACTTCACCTGGACGACCAAATCTGCCTGGGATTCCATCATCTCCTCTGACCCCATCTGTGCCAGGGAACCCAGAAACTCCCACTGGCCCACGCTGTCCCTTGGCTCCATCCAGTCCTGGAACCCCAGGTGGTCCTGGTTCCCCATCTCTACCGATTTCTCCAGGTGGGCCAGCCAAACCATAAAGACCAGGGTCACCAGACATTCCCTGTCAATAACAAAATGGTGTTAACCAATGGTATATAAGTATGAGGGTTGTCCCAGTTGGACACGACCTCTGATATCTTCAGAGTTTGTGTGATTGTAGAAAAAAATCTTTTCGTAGGCCCCCACAATGTGCAAAAGTTCTGGGATTTTTGAAAAAAGTGTTTCAATTATTTTCAAGTTTGCAGAGTTCTCACCTGTGTGTGCCATGGGGTGCTAAATTTTTCAGCCTGGCTAAAAATGTGAAAATGGTTTTTGTTTCAACCATTATCAAGAATGCAGGAAAGACAATGTGTAAATCAACAATAAATTTTCCTTTTTTTCTAGCTCACCTGACACAATTTTAACACCCTGTATCATGGGCAGATAACTCATCTGGCTGCAACTGGGAGATTTTCACTCATCATCATGCAGTATACTGAAAAAACATTTTTAACCTTTGGTTGGCAGAGGGTTCCTGGCCATCCTGCAGCAAAGGCATGATTGGGGGGGGGGGGGGGGGGGTATTTTTGTTTTCCCAGGGGG